CTCTCTCTCTCTCTCTCTCTCTCTCTCTCTCTCTCACACACACACTTACACTCACACCATGGTCACTCAGCAAGCCAATCAGGTTGTAGTAGCATTTGAATACCTACATCCTGGAGCTATAGTCTGTGTTCTTAATTTCTGTGATGTCTTACTTCTCAGAATTTATATCTATAAAAAGTTGGCACATGTATATTTATTTAAAAAATATCCAACTAGGAAAAAGTTGTACCCTGATTTCTGGTAAGCTATATTTGGCATGGGCCCATGAAAAGTACTTGGAAGGAAAGGGCTGCCATGTTCATCTCTACAATGCCTGCTTTCTAAGGAATATAATTGTAGTTTTGTTTGGGGCTGAGCATTTGTTTTGTTGAGGCAGGGTTTCCCTCTGGCCTCAGATTCACAATCATCCTGCCTCAAATATCTTGGATTACTGGTATGTAAATCACTACACCTGGATGTTTAGTTTTCAAATCTGCATTGGTCACTTAAAAATACTGATAGTAAGCCAGGCATGGTGTTGCACACCTTTAATCCCAGCACTTAGGAGGCAGAGGCAGGTGGACCTTTCTGAGTGCAAGGTCAATCTGGTTTACATAGAGTTCCAGGCCAGCCAGAACTACATATTGACCCTGTCTCAAAAACAAACAAACAAACAAAAAAAGCGAAGAAGCTGAAGAGATGGCTCAGTGGTTAAGAGCACTGGCTGCTCATCTAGAGGGCCCAGGTTTGATTTCCACAATCCACATGAGAGCTCACAATTGTCTGTAAGTCCAGTTCCAGGGAACCCGGTGCCGCCTTCTGCCTCCATGGGCAACAGACATGCAGGGGGGTGCAGATATATACTGGTAAAACACCACACACATAAATAAAAATCATTTCTAGCCGGATGCTGGTGGTGCACGCCTTTAATCCCAGCACTCGGGAGGCAGAGCCAGGCAGATCTCTGAGTTCGAGGCCAGCCTGGTCTACAGAGTGAGATCTAGGACAGGCGCAAAGCTACACAGAGAAACTCTGTCTTGAAAAAAAATTTTTTTCTAAAAATTATGCTAGAATATGTACCCCTTGTAAATATTTAGTCTTACAGTGAAAATTTTTAGATACTGACCTAAAATAATGAGGGGAGGGGGTTTTACATATATGCAAATTATCTGGGTTGAGGGGTCTGTAGCTTTCATCCAGTTCATAAAGGTAAATAAGGCTGGAGAGATGACTTTGTGGTTAAAGGCACTGGCTGCCTTTCCATATGATCCAGGCTCAGTTCCAAGCACCCCCATGTTAGCTAACAACCATCTATAATTCCAGTTCCAGGATAGCTCATGCTCTCATCTGGCCCTCATGGACATCGGACACACACGGTACACAGACATGCATGAAGACAAAACACCCATATACATAAAATAAAGATAAATATTTTTTAAAGCCTTAGAGTATGTACGGCAGAAATAACTAAGCACAGTCCGAGGTGAGACCAGATGTTTGCTCTGTCCTCACCTTGTACAGCTTCTGAGTGTGCTGTCTGTGTGTGCATGGGAGTGCACATGTGTACCTGGACATGAGAAAGCTGAGGTGGTTTTCTTTGATTATCCTCCACTTTATATTTTGAGACAGTGTTTCTCACTGAACCTAAAGTTCATCTGTTAGCCTGGGCTGTCTGGCCCATGAGCTTTGTCCACCTGTCACTGTGTCCCCTTCCCCAGGCCAGGTTACAAGCACACACATCTATTTCCAACTTTTATGTGGGTGTTAGACCATCCAACGTCAGATTAGTCCTTGTACCAGCATTGAGAAATGTCCCAGAATTAGCCAGGCATGTGTGTACACCTTTAATGCCAGCACTCCAGAGGCAGAGGCAGGCAGATCTCTGTGAATTCAAGGTCATTCTAGTCTCCATAGCAAATTCCAGGCCAGCCAGAGCTACATGATGAGACCCTGTCTCCAAACAAAAAGAAAAAAACAAAAAACAAAAACCTCCTTTGGTAAGGACTGGGATAGTTGATTTGTGAATGTTAGGAGACATATACATACACACACACACACACACACACACACACACCATAAGACAACAGCAAAAGCCACTTTTGTTTGTCTTTTCATGGAAACATTGCCCTCTGGTGGTTTCGTATGTGTAAGCTGATGGCCCTTGTGCTTTTTCTTCCAGTTTGAAGGAAGGAAGTACTGTGAGCATGATTTCCAGATGCTCTTTGCTCCCTGCTGCCACCAGTGTGGTAAGTTTTACTGCTGAATATAAGTACAAAATAAGTTTCACAGCATTTCAGTCACTGTGTAGTTGATGTCTAGTGCTGTGACCAAACACTGACTAAAAGCAGCTGCAGGGAGGAAGGCCTTATTTATTTCATCTTGTACTCCAGGTCACAGTCCTCACTGAGGGAAGTCAGGGCAGGAACTTGAAGCAGAAGCCGTGGAGAAACAGCTTGCTGGTTTGCCAGCAGACTTAAACTCAGCTGCTGCTCTAGATTGGGCTTTCTGCGGTGCTTTCCCTCTGCACATAGCCTTTGCCAACGTACTTGTGGTCTGGCCAGAGAAGAGACAGACTATTTCAGCTGAGTGGATAAAGGTGCATATGTACTTGACTCACTTACTGTAGCCACCTCAGTGGTGGCTCAACTAGAACATTTCTAGGGATTGGAGACCCTGAATTCAGTGTTTAAAATGCTCAGTGAGCCGGGCGGAGGTAGCCACCCGCCTTTAATCCCAGTGCTCAGGAGGCAGAGAGAGACAGGAGGATCTCTAAGTAGGAGGCCAGCCTGGTCTACAGAGTGAGTTCCAGGACAGGCTCCAAAACTACACAAACCCTGTCTCAAAAATCCAAATAAATAAAAATAAAAATATAAAAAATAAATAAATAAAATGCTCAGTGAAGGAAGTCAGTGTGAATTATGGGAAAAGTGGCAGGCCAGGCATGATCCCGGCACTCTGAAAACATGCAGGAGGAGCTCTGAGTTTGATGCAGCCAGAGCAAGTTTCAGGCCAGTCCGGGGTGCATAGTGAGAGAGACCCTGTCTGAAAAACACAGCAAGAACAAAAAACAGAAAATGCGTTGTAGAGACTGAAGTCATAACACTCAGTGGTAAAAAACACTTAGCGTTCCAAAGGCCCTTGGTTCGATCCCCACCACTGAGTGGAGCAGTGAGAGTCAAAGGAAAAGGTGTATAGATTTCTGTTGTCTGTGTCAACAGTGACCTAAACCACCACGAGGCACTGGAAAAAAACAGCTTTAAAATGTGGCTACAAAATAAAAAATGGGGACTCAGATGAAAGAATGATCATTTGTCTGCTCTCTTACTCCAACAGACACAGTGTAAAAGGTCTTCTTTAAATTAGGCTGGTAATACAGACCTGTAATCCTAGATACATGGGAGGCTGAGGCAGGAGGATTTCAAGTTTAGGGCAGCCTGAACAATTCACTTGAGGCCCTGTGTCAGAAATTAAAAGGGAAGAATCAGAGGGCTGGAGCTGGCTGTCACCCGGGGAAAGCAGAGGCTTAGCATTGAGGAGCACTAGTCGGTCCCTAGTAAGCCCCCATTAAACACTGGCCCCTTCTGTCTATAGCAAATAAGATGTCTCATGCATTCTCCGCACTTTCCTTTCCCATAGGTGAATTCATCATTGGTCGGGTTATTAAAGCCATGAACAACAGCTGGCATCCTGAATGCTTTCGATGTGACCTCTGCCAGGAAGTGCTGGCAGACATAGGGTTTGTCAAGAATGCTGGCAGGTAGGACTTTGCCATCCTTGCTGGATGTGGGTGGCCAATGGGATTGTTCAAGACTCCTGCATTTTCCCTATGGAGTATGAGGTACTGCTCTAGGGATGAGAATATAGAACTAACCATGCACTGACTTACTTAGTACCCTGGGAAATGGCCCCAGAGCTTAGTCACGAGGTCTGTTCCTGCATGCCTCCTATTCTGCCAGTGAGATATGGGCATTGGTGAAGTCCATGCTCATCTGTGGGTTATTAGTGGAACAGATTTTTCCTGCACTTTGAGTCTGCTCTACTAAACACAGGAGATGGTTTTCTTCTTCTTCTTTTTTAATCTAAAATGTGTTTTATTGGGATGGTTCGCACTCATCTTGAATCAGGTGCTTTTCAGTGCTGCTTCCTCCTGAAGGAGCATCCTTCTGTCCGCCTTGCTTTTCCGCCTGTGGGCTGACAGAGGCAGTGGAGCAGCCAACACACAAGGCTACCGCCTGTGCATGGCTAAAGACCATGATGGTCTTACAGCATCCTGGACATTTCACATCCGTAAAGTAGGAACTGGGACTCTGCACCAGGCGCTTTTTCTTGTGTTTCCTCTTTTCCTCTTCTGGAGAGGGATGAAGGAGATCCTTTGCGAGAGGCATGTTCTCATAGGGAGTTCGTCACCGCCAGAAAGGTGGAAATAGTTTTCTAAAAAATGGTTTCTTTAATTTGTGCTCAGAGATATGAGAAGTTTATTTCTAATGATTAAAAAGAACCTAAGATTTTAAATTTCCATTTTGGCCCTGTATAGACACCTGTGTCGTCCATGTCATAATCGTGAAAAGGCCAGAGGCCTTGGGAAATACATCTGTCAGAAATGCCATGCCATCATTGATGAACAGCCTCTGATCTTCAAGAATGACCCTTACCATCCAGACCACTTCAACTGTGCCAACTGCGGGTATTACAGTATTTTTCTTGACATTGTGTAAAACAGTAGTGAAGGATCAAAGTTACCTATATTTCTGTTACTGCAACAGACCAGTTCACTTGTCTTCTTCAAGCTTTCATTTTATTTTATTTGGGGTGTGTGTGTGTGTGTGTACACGTACATGTGTACACCTGTAGTCTTGTGTGTGCTAGGCAAATGGTGTGCATGGAGTTAAACCCTTAGTTCTCCCACTTTTAGTGTTAGACCATACAGAGACCAAAAGCATTATATAAAGGCTCTACTCTTCCGATAATTATCTGTGATAGCTGGTTATTCAGTGTTGAGTAAGTGAGTTTATAACCAGGTAGGAAGCAAAGTAAAAGAACAATTAGTAGACCTCACATAAGAAGCACAGGTAACATATTATCACCAAATCAGGTGCTTAAAACATCCAACAGAAATTACTAGAGTAGCCTAGTTGAGAGAGCAGGTAGAAATAGTGTCATCAAATTAGGCACTTAGATTATCCAGCAGAAATGAGTAGACTGCTGAAACAGTCATGCTTGAGTTATTTTTTTATCTGTCCTGATGTTTTGCTTGCATGAAGTATGTCATGCACTGCATATGTGCCTGGTGTCCATGGAAGTCATGACGGGGAATTACATCTTCTGGAACTAGAATTAAAAATGGTTGTCATCTACCACATGGATGCTGGAATTGAACCCAGGTCCTCTGCAACCAGTACCTTAACCACTGAGCCATCTCTCCAGCTCTCGTTTGAGTTCTCAATTGAGAGATTTCTAGACAGAGCAGATGATCTCTGCATGGATGAGCTTCTGGCTTCCCGTTCCCACCACAGGCATGCTTATACTAGTGGCTGAACCATGGGACCCTCTGTTGGAAATGGTTCACCATCCATTATTCTCAAGGCTCGAGTCTTTTAAAATCCTTCGTTGTTTGCTTCCTTCCTCCCTTCTGTAGCACCTGAGGGCCACCCTGCCCCAGAACAGGGAGTCTTGAAGGATACTTGAATTAAATATTGCTGGACTCTGGGATAAGGAGTCTACCCCACAGCCACAGCCAACTTTTTAGTAAGCTTAAGTAGTTAGTACATGATGGAGCTGGAGAGATGGCTCAGTAGTTAAGAGCACTGGCTCCTCTTCCAGGGCACCCAGGCGCAATTCCTAACACCCACATGGCAATATGCGACCCTCTGTAACTTTAGTTCCAGGCCATCTAAAGCTCTCTTCTGGCCTTCGCAGGCACCAGGCACACATTTAATGCACAGGCATACATACGAAGTACCTATACACATAAAAAAATTTAAGTCCCATGATGATTTACCAATAAAATTTATCTTTTCTTATTATTTTTTGTCTTAATAGTTTATTCTTTGACAATTCCATATGTGTATATAACATGTTTTAATGAAAGTCACACCCATTCTTTTTTATCTTTTTTTTTTTTTTTTTTTTTTTAATAGTCCACTGAGTTTAATTAGGGTTGCTTGCAAGTACATGGCTGTGGAGTTATTTCCTGGATCATGGACGCCTTACCAGTGGCTACACCCCTGAAGGCAAATGATTCCCCTTCTGCCAATAGCCATTGACTGCCAAGAGCTCCTCAGCAAAGGGAGGGGCCTACTGTGCCCCTCACTCAGTATAATTTATACTTTATAATAATGCGCACCTGTGTATCCCAGGCTGTCTGCAAACTCACAATCCTCCTTCCTCAGCCTCCCAAGTGTTGGGATTGCAAATGTGGACTACTATTCCTGGACCCAGCACTGTGAGTTTTAAGGAAGACAAATGAACTGAAATGTAATGTTACTGTGGGACAGCAATGATAAACAGGACTGAGTGGCGTGTGTCTGACCTTTCCTTGTATCTCACCATTAATACAAGATACTGGTAACAACCTGAAACCCAGACAAGTCCCTTAATTCAGGTTTATGAGGGGAACATAGAAGTTGTCAGGGCTTGATATGATTTTATCTTTTAAAATCTTATAAAAAATTCTGCTACCTCTGTTGGGTACCTGTCCATCTGTACAGTAGTATTTAGTTGAATGTCTTTTGGTGCACAGGAAGGAGCTAACTGCTGATGCCCGGGAGCTGAAAGGGGAGCTGTACTGTCTGCCATGTCATGATAAGATGGGGGTCCCTATCTGTGGTGCATGTCGGAGGCCCATTGAAGGGCGAGTAGTGAATGCCATGGGCAAGCAATGGCATGTGGAGGTAAGTACACCTTGGCCAAAGATAGCCAGTACTTTCAGTTTCTATTCCTCAGGTATGGTAGCAAGATAAGAATAATTTAAAGACTAAATGTTGGCATGTTTTTCAAAACAGTTGACTTTTTTGTCCTAATTCATTTCTCTATCACTGTGAGTTAAAAAACAAACAAAAAACTGACCAAGCCAAGTGTGGTGGCTCACTCCTTTAATCCCAGCACTTGGGAGCAGAACCAGGAGCCTCTCCATGAGTCCCAGGCTAGATCATAAGTTCCAACTCAACCAGGACTACATAGAGAGACCCTGTCTCAAAAACAAAACAACCAACAACAACAACTGGCCAAAAGCAGCTTGGGAGAAGAAGGGGTTTATCATGGATTACAGGTTATTTCCATCGTGAAGCAACGCCAAGTTGGGAATTCGAGTCAGATACCTGGATGCAGGAACTGGAGCCGAGACCAAGGAGAAACGCTGCTCATTGGCTCCCTTCCAGGCTCATTGTCAGCTAGCCACCTTTCTTACACAGCCCAGGTTAACCGGCCCAGGGACGGCACCTCCCACAGTGGGCTGGGCCCACCCACATCTATTAGCAAGCAAGAAAATACCCCACAGACATGTCCACAGGCCAATCTGGTGGAGGCAACACCTAGAGATATAGACTAGTTTGTATCAAGTTGACCAAAGCTAACCAGCACAACTTAATTTAAAAAAAAAAATCTAGAATGTTTAACATGACAGCATACTGCAGGGTGTGTACTTTGTTCTTAATTCCTTCTTGAGAACAGGTGTCACAGTTGTAACAATTAGTTATTCTCAGTTACAAATACACTGGGATGCCCATCTCCTTCCATATGTCTTATTTAATAGTTTGTATTTTTAAGATGATTTGATTGTATGTGTATGAGTGTTTTCCCTGCATGTGTGTGTCTGGTGCCTATAAAGGTCAGACAAGGCCATCAGATCCCGGGAACTGGAGTTATGGAGTTGCCGTACTGGTCCTGGAAACCAAACCCACATCCTAATCCAGAGCTGCAGGTGCTTCCAACTGCTGAGCAGTTATCTTTTTGGTTTTTCAAGACAAGATTTTTCTGTGTAGCCCTGGCTTTTTTGGAACTCACTATGTAGACCAGGTTGACCTTCAACTCACAGTGATCCGCCTGCCTCTGCCTCCCTAGTGCTGGGGTTAAAGGCGTGTGCAGCCACCCCCTGGGTAAGGTAACCCATTAGAGCCTCATAGACACAAGAATTGAAACCATAAAAGTAGCTGGTCTTGCCAGGTATGGTGGCACACACCTTTAAACCCAGCATTCAGGAAGCAGAGGCAGATGGATATCTGTGAATTCCAGGCCACCCTGGTCTACACAGCAAATTTTACATCTGACAGAACTATCAGATCTACATAGTGAGGCACTGTCACCCCCAAAAAAGGGGGGATCTGGTTATTGATCTTACTGTCTTTTCTAAGAATTAGTTAACTTTGAGGTTACTTTGTTAGATAAATTAAATCACAGCATCTCAAAAATAATTTATTCAATGTTTTTCCAGCATTTTGTTTGTGCAAAATGTGAAAAGCCATTTCTTGGACATCGCCATTATGAGAGGAAGGGCCTGGCTTATTGTGAAACTCACTATAATCAGGTAATGATTGTACTTACTAGATATTTGATACATGCAAATTGAAACTCATCAATGTTTCAGCTGTAGAAAAAGCTCTTGGAAAATGTACATTGGTCTACAGAGATGTATTTTAAATCATTGAGTCTTGGAATACTTCATAAATAACATACACATAATATCTGTATATCTACCTTTACCCATAATCTGCATTTGCTTCCCCTGGATGCATTTGATTTTACTATATAAAAATAGACCATTATATCAATACACATATCTTCATGTACAGTTAGTTATATATGTGCATTTCAGTCCATAGTTTTTTTCTTGTTTTTGTTTTGAGATTTTTTTTTTTTTTTTCATTTTATGTGTTTGCCCAAATGTGTGTCTGTTCACCCTATGGATGCAGTGTCTGTGGAGGCCAGAAAAGGGCATTGGATCCCCTGGGACTGAAGTTATAAATAGTTGTGAGCTACTACATGGATGCTAGGAATTGAGCCTGGGTCCTCTGGAAGAGCAGCCAGTGCTCTTAACTACTGAGATGCCTCTGCAGCCCATGAATAGGTTTTTAAGAAACATTTGTAGTAGTTCTTTGAGAATTCACACAGTGTGTTTTAATCATGTTCACTCCTATCTCACTCTAACTCCTCCCGGGCTTACCTGACTTTCCTACACCCTACCTTCTTCTTTTTTTTTTTTAAGATTTATTTACTTAGTATGTATACAATGTTCTTCCTGCAGGCCAAAAGAGGTCACCAGATTTCATTATAGGTGGTTGTGAGCCACCATGTGGTTGCTGGGAATTGAACTCAGAACCTCTGGAAGAGCAGTCAGTGCTCTTAACCTCTGAGCTATCTCTGCAGCCCCACCCTACCTTCTTATAAGCCTCCAGTTTTGTTTTTGTTTTTGTTTTTTTTAAATAACCCATCTACTCCAGTTTGTGCTCCCATTTACATCTGGGTATGGGGCTATACGCACTGGAGGAGCATGGTCAGTTTACAGGAGCTACACTCTTTTTTTTTTTCAAGGATTTATTTGTTTATGTATGTTTATGAATGCTCTACTTGCATGTATGCCTGCATGACAGAAGAGGCCATTAGATCCCACTATAGATGGTTGTGAGCCACTATGTGGTTGCTGGGACTTAAACCCGGGACCTTTAGAAGAGCAGTCAGTGCTCGTAACCACTGAGCCATCTGGAGTGGGTCAGGAGCTCTGCTCTTAAGGAAGGTTGACTCTCCTTCCCCCAGAAGCCATCAACTGTCCTAGCTCCTCCTCAGTGAGGAGTCGGGTTTTGGCTAGAATACTGAACAGGTAGTGGCATGTCCTCTCGGAGCCTCTCCTCTGTGTTCATTGCTCCTCCCTTGGTGCCCATGCAGGCTTGGGTTGGCTGTATCTGCACTGTGAATTGCTGTTTCCCCCTTCCCTTATATCCAATGGCAACCTGTGAACAGTCCCTTTCTGACTGTGTAAATGTCCTCCCGCTGAGATTTGCTGACGTGCAATAATGCTGCTGTTCTGGGTGGAAATGATGGTTACCTGGTTTAATGCCCTCCTCGATCCTCAGTTGGCTGTCGGCACTCTGCTTGAACAGCCGCCTTCCTCCCTCCTGGGCACAAGGGTCGCTTGTCTGTCCATTTCTGATCTGGAAGGACTTGTGTGTTTTTTTAATTATTCTGGTGCTCAGATTGTCACCAGGAAATGTTCAAGTGATGAGAAGTGAACGATTCTCACTGTAACCAATGGATTACTAACTTCCTCTAGAAAGGATAAATTCTAGACTTGAGTCGCCAGCGTCTTGTTTTGCAGTGGTCAACAGAAAGGACAGAGATCATAGAAATACTTACTGTAAAGAACTGAACTCCAGCTCACCTCGAGCTCTCACTGCTTGTCTCTTGTCTTCGTCCTCAGCTCTTCGGTGATGTCTGTTTCCACTGCAACCGTGTCATAGAAGGGGACGGTATGTATCTGGGGTGCATGAGACCGCTTCAGCAGAAGGACACTTGTGGTATGGAAAGTGAGAGGCGCTGGCCGCTTCGATGGCCGCGATGTGGTCTTTATCCCTTATTTCCTCTTGGTGGGCTTCTCAGGTGCTCCCCAGCGGAGCGATGGGCTAACCAGGCAGGACAGCTGCTGTGTGTACTGAGTCAACAGGACTTAGTGAACACACTAACCAGGCAGGACAGCTGCTGTGTGTACCGAGTCACTAGGACTTAGTGAACACACTAACCAGGCAGGACAGCTGCTGTGAGCTGTGTACCGAGTCAACAGGACTTAGTGAACAGACTAACCAGGCAGGACAGCTGCTGTGAGCTGTGTACTGAGTCACTAGGACTTAGTGAACACACTAACCAGGCAGGACAGATTGGCTACAACATGGGAAAGCAGCTGTGTTTGCTAATGGTCACTAACCAACCCTGCCAGAAATTTCCTGACAGTTCTAAACAACACTGTTTACAACATGCTTTATGGTTCTCAGCAGACATCACCTAATCAGGAAATGCTTTGGGAAGACTGCAGTTAGTAGCAAGGTTAGTCCAGGAACCATCTTTAGGGCCGTAACAAATCAACTTAACTGCGGGAGACACTTGAAAAGACAAAGGAAGTTACATTCTTAGTGTCACCTTGGAAAGAAATCCCTCACAGTCAGATAAAGTCTGGAGTTCGAAGAAATGTTGTATCTAATTCCTATTTCTTCAGTGGGCCAACAGCAGTAGAAACAGAAACACAACAAAGAGCTGTTGGTCTTTAAGCCTTGTCAGAAAAGCTCATCTGAGCAACGTGAAACAGGCTGGCTACTGCCCACAGTGCTGAGAAGGAATCGTAGTTGGTGTCTCCGATTTGTAGATAAAGAAAAATTAGTATCTAAAAAGGGCAAGACAGAGCTAGGGAGGTAGCTCAGAGGGTAAGTGCTTGTGTAACATGAGGACCAGAGCTCTGGCCTTGCACTGTAAGTGCCGCCTGCTCAGTGCCGCCTGCCTGTCTTTCCAGTGAGGCAGAGCTCCCCAGAGCAAGCCGCCAACCCGACTAGCTGTAGTGGCTGCTCTGAGTTCAACTAAGAGACCTTTCCTCGATTAATAAGATTGAGAGTGGTCCAAGAAAATTCCCGTACCAGTCTCTGGCTTCTCGTCACATAGATACATACATGCACCCATACACAAAGACAAGTGCGGAAAAGAAGAAAATTGAAAGATAGAAATACTCTTGCTTACATTGAAACCTTCTGGTTTTTCAAGCCAGGGTTTCTCTGTGTAGCTTTTGGAGCCTGTCCTGGAACTCGCTCAGTAGACCAGGCTGGCCTCAAACTCAGATCTGCCCGGCTCTGCCTCCCAAGTGCTGGGATTAAAGGCGAGCACCACCACCACCACCACCACCACCACCTGCCTATTTTTTTAATAATGTGAAAAAAGCCAGGCTTGGTGGTACATGCCTTTAATCCCAGCACTCAGGAGATAGACACAGGCAAATCTCTGTGAGTTTGAGGCCAGCCTGGTCCACATATAGTGAGTCCAGGCTGGCCAAGAGCTACATAGTGAGACCCTGCCTCAAAAAACAAAAGAGTGAAAAAAAATAGCCATAATTAAAAAATAGATTTGTTGGAAACATATTAATAGCATTGAGTTTTTTAACTGTGTTTTTGCAAGAAAAAAAGACCTCTTATCAGGCATGGTGATGCACATAAATAATTACAGAATCAGGGAGGCTAAGGTAGGGAGATCAGGAGTTCAGTCCAGCCTGGGCTACAGAGGACTCTGTATCAACAATGAAGAAACCTCTCAAGAAAGGCGGCACTTGGGAACAGCTTTCTTTGTTCTTCAGGGTTGGAAACAAGCCCCTCTTCCCACAGTGAAATGCCCCGTGTGACTGGATCTCTTTTTTCCCCAGTGGTCTCTGCCCTCAACAAGGCCTGGTGTGTGAGCTGCTTTGCCTGTTCCACCTGCAATACCAAGTTAACACTCAAGTAAGTCCTTGGCCGGCCCAGCGTGACTGCTGAAGCTGGGTTTCAGATGCCATTTAGACTCTAAGAAGGGGAGCGACTGCTGCCTGCGTCTTCTTCCTCCTGAGTCCTCTGATGTAAATGTTCTTCTTTAACTGTTCTGTTCTGTCCCTTCTTCTTTGTTCTACTCAAAGGGATAAGTTTGTTGAAATTGATCTAAAGCCAGTCTGCAAATACTGTTATGAGAAAATGCCAGAAGAGTTTAAGAGGCGGCTTGCCAAACGGGAGAGAGAAGCAAAGGATAAGGACAAGCAGAGAAAGAGAAAGCCAGTGTGTCTGTAACGTTCTGTCCCTTCCAGGCCGTTCCCATTGCTGCTCCTGTGGTCAGTCTTCGGGATGCCTTTCTTTCTGCTTGTCTTTCTGTCCTTTTGTTTTTTGCATGTTTTTGTGGCCATCAGAGATTGAAATACTTGTCCTGGGTAGAGTTGGTTCCTTCACCTATTACAAGTGTAAAACGTAATGAGATCATACTGAACACTGGCTTCCATGCACATGCCTGCCTCATCTGTGCTGTTTTCCCAATGTTTCCTTAGAACAAAAGCTATTTTGTGGGCAAAAGTTTAAATATTCCTGCTTTAGCCAGGCAGTCAGTGGT